CTAAAACTCTGAGCTCAAGCAATCCTCCTACCTCAGCCTCCTGAGTAGCTGGGACCACAGGTGCATGCCACCACACCCAGCTAATTTTTAAATTTTTTGTAGAGATGGAATCTTGCTACGTTGCCCAAAGTTAATCACAATTCTTCATTTGTGTTAAATAATTCCTCTGCTTTTCTTATTCTTTTCTTTTCTTTTTTATTTTTGTAGAGACAGGGTCTCACTCTGTCACCTAGGCTGGAGTGCAGTGGCACCATCACAGCTCACTGCAGCCTCCAACTCCCTGGCTTAAGCAATCTTCTCATCTCAGCCTCCTGAGTAGCTGGGACCACAGACATGTGCTACCACGCCCAGCTAGGTTTTTTTTTTTTTTTTCCCCCACAGATGGGGTCTCACTATGTTGCCCAGGCTGGTCTCGAACTCCTGAGCTCAAGTGATCCTCCTACCTTGGCATCTCAAAATGCTGGATTACAGGTGTGAGCCACTGCACTCTAATTCTGCTTCTCTTCAATGTTTTTCTCAAATATATGTATCCCTAAATACGTATATTACACATATACATAATACATACATAGATACATGCATAATATATATGACAAATGCTTATTCATTCACATTTTTAAAAAATGTTTATGTGCAGAGAAGTGATGACAGTAGTCATCTCCAAATTGTAGGTGACTTTTAATTTTCTCTTTGTTATTTTCTGTATTTTCCAAAGCTTTTGTAATCAACACGGTTTACTTTTGTGATCACACAACGATGAAATGCATGCCCAGAGATATATGAATGGCCTCATTGCAAAACAGGAGGAACCCTTGTTTGTGAAGCAAATAAATGTCACTTCTGTCCTTATCTCCCTATTGCTTATCCTCAAAAACAGGTTCAGATTTGTTTAAAGGGGCAGAGAAGCAAATATTGCATACATTAATCTTGGAAACGACATGCTTACAGTGGCTGGGTGGGTGAGCTGCAATGGAGCCTTCAACATCCTGCTCCCCAGGACGGGTCCCCTAGGTTCTGCTGCTGCTCCTTCCTGTGATTTGTAAAGCTGACCTGCAACCTGGATGGTCTCCAGTCTTATTACAGTGATTTATCTCTTCTATTATTAAAGACACTGACAGTCCTATCTTCCTCTTGCAACTGTCAGGGACACCCACCCACTGGGGCTGAGGGCCGTGTGGGGCAGTGGGCTCAGAGGCTGCACTGGGGAAATTACGCCTGTAATCCTATCACTTTTGAGAGGCTGAGGCAGGAGGATCGCTTGAGGCCAGGAGTTCAAGACCAGCCTGGGCAATGTAGTGAGACCCTGCCTCTACAAAAACAAAACAAAAAAACCCAGAAACAACATTGTAGGAAGACAGGGGACTGTGATGGGGGAGGAGGGGCACACAGGGCATCAAATGAACAGGCTGTGTTCTCATCTCAAGCTGCGTGGTGGGCATGTGTGTTGGTCAGACTGGTCTCGAACTCCTGACCTCAGGAGACCCACCTGCCTTGGCCTCCCAAAGTGCTGGGATTACAGACGTGAGCCACCACACCCAGCCCTTTGCTTCTTTCTTGTTTGTTTACAGACAGGGTCTCGCTCTGTTGCCCAGGTTAGAATGCAGCGGTGCAATCATAGCTTAATGCACCCTTCAACTCCCGGGCTCAAGCAATCCTCCCACCTCAGTCTCCTAAGTAGCTAGGAACACAGGCACAAACCCCCACAGCTAGCTAGTTTTCTTATCTCTACTAAAAATACTAAAAAAGAAAAATTAGCCAGGCATGGTGGCACATGCTTGTAATTCCAGCTACTCGGGAAGCTAAGGCATAAGAGTATTTGAATCTGAAAGGTGGAGGCTGCAGTAAGGTGAAATAATACCACTGCACTCCAGCCTGGGTGACAGAGTGAGACTCTCTCTCTCTCCCCCTCTCTCCCTCTCTCTCTCTCTCTCTCTCTCTCTCTCTCCCCCCCCGAGTGTGTGTACATATATATATATATGTGTGTGTGTATATATATATGTGTGTGTGTGTGTGTATATATATATATATCTCACTTTGAGAGGCTGAGATAGGAGGATCACTTGAGGCCAGGAGTTCAAGACCAGCCTGGGCAATGCAGTGAGACCCTGCCTCTACAAAAACAAAACAAAACAAAACAAAAACAACATTGTAGGAAGACAGGAGACTGTGATGGGGTGCTTCTATATATATATATACACACACACAGAGAGAGAGAGAGAGAGAGAGAGAGAGAGAGAATATATATACATATACACTTATAAGTGGAGAAACACTGGATTTTTCTGTAGGAGTTTCTCCTGATCCTACCCAACAGCCATCAGCCTCCCAATTTTACACACACACACATATTTGCACACACAGAGACACAGGAAGCTACACACATGCAGACACACATGTGCACACACACACATACACGTACCTACGCATGCACACACAGAAACACATGTGCACCCCCATATCGACACACGCACATGTGCACATAGACATGTATGCACACCAACACACACATTCACACACACCACAGCAGCCTGTTCTCTAAAACACCACTTCCCTTGCATCTTCCCTCTCTCTCTTTCTCCTCATCAGCCCTTTGCCCATCCTGGATCCCAGTTCCTCAGCATCTCCCAGGATGAAGTCCCTGAGACACTGTATCAGAATCTCCTGAGGGCTTCAGATTAGAAGGGAATCAAGAGATCTCACTGGTGTGAGTCAGTAGGGTGTTGTTCAGGCCCAGTTTAATGGGCAAAGTGAAAGGTGAGATGTGGCCGGGCGCGGTGGCTCAAGCCTGTAATCCCAGCACTTTGGGAGGCAGAGGTGGGTGGATCACGATGTCAGGAGATCGAGACCATCCTGCCTAACACGGTGAAACCCTGTCTCTACTAAAAAATACAAAAAAAACTACCCAGGCGAGGTGGCAGGCGCCTGTAGTCCCAGCTACTCGGGAGGCTGAGGCAGGAGAATGGCGTAAACCTGGGAGGCGGAGCTTGCAGTGAGCCAAGATCCGGCCACCACACTCCAGCCTGGGCAACAGAGCTAGACTCCGTCTCAAAAAAAAAAAAAAGAAAAGAAAGGTGAGATGTGCTTGAAGACACTAAATGAATGTGGTCTGGATGAGATCCTGGAACAGAAAATGATCATGAGCACAGAAAATCATGTAATGCAAGTATGGTCTTTTTTTTTTTTTTTTTTTTTTTTTTCTGGAGATGGTCTTGCTCTGTCATCCAGGCTGGAATGCAATGGTGCGATCTCGGCTCACTGCAAACTCCGCCTCCCAGGTTCAAGCGATTCTCCTGCCTCAGCCTCCCAAGTAGCTTGGATTACAGGTGCCTGCCACCACATTCGACTAATTTTTGTACTTTTAGTATAGACAAGGTTTCACCATGTTGACCAGGCTGGTTTTGAACTCCTGACTTCAGGTGATCTGCCCGCCTTGGCCTCCCAAAGTGCTGGGATTACAGGCGTGAGCCACCACGCTCAACCTAAAAAGAGACTCTGACTTCTTTTTTTTTGAGACGGAGTTTTGCTCTTTTTGCCCAGGCCGGAGTGCAACGGTGCAATCTCAGCTCACTGCAACCTCCACCTCCCAGGTTCAAGCGATTCTCCTGCCTCAGTCACCGAAGTAGCTTGAATTACAGGCATGCACTACCACACCTGGCTAATTTTGTATTTTTACTAGAGATAGGGTTTCTCCATGTTGGTCAGGTTGATCTTGAACTCCTGACCTCAAGTGATCTGCCTGCCTCAGCCTCCCAAAGTGCTGGGATTACAGGTGTGAGCCACTGCGCCCAGTCCTCCTCTGTGATTCTAACTCCACTGCCCAGCATGTCCTGTTGACTGTGACCCTGACTCTGCGCCCTCATCTCCTTTCCATGTCCACGGTAGATGAGAGGACTATACATTTCCAGCAGCAGTCACCATGCTTTTGCCTGAGCCTTGTGAATTCTTCTGGGCATGCTCTTTTTGTTCTTTACTACTGTCTTTTAGAGGAAGAGAGTCCATCATTTGATCAGACAGCCTTTTCTATGCTGACCCAATACCTGCTGCTTGGAAAATCACAGGTAAAACCACTGACAGCATCACTGGTGTGAGTCAATAGGGTGTTGTTCAGGCCCAGTTTAATGGGCAAAGTGAAAGGTAAGATGTGCTCGAATACATATATTCTCCTGTGTAATAATTACTTTGCAACCCACACACGTTTGGGGACTCAGAATTCATCCTGAAGCAAATCCAGCCTTCCTTGTCATTTTCTCTAAGACAGAGGTGCCATAGTCAGGAATGGCAGTGTGAAAAGCAAACGGAAAAACAAATGATGCAGGGAGGTAGATGGCTTTTGCATCACTTGCTGGTCAAAGGCTTTTTTTCCCATTAGGATGTGGACATCTGCAAGCTGCGTTGTTTTGGACTTTGACACAAGCCGAAACAGGAAAACTCCCCAGCTTCCAAGCAAGGTGGTTTGAGCAGAAAGACAGCTCTGGGGATGAAATGTGAGTATTTCCCCTGAACTTGGCTCTCCCAGCCTTTTCGGTTATGCCTGAGGTTACTGCCTCATCTTTAAGTTACGAATTAAGACTTGGTAAAATATATAAGGAGCTGAACTCATCAGAGAGGAAAGGGCCCTGCCTGGAGAGTCCGGGGTCCTGGACTGATGGTTTCGATGACTGACCTTGGGAAAGCAAAGAGCCACTGCAGGCCTTGGTTTTCTGTCTTGTAAAAATGACAAGGTCACAGCTGGGCATGGTGGTTCACGCCTGTAATCCCAACACTTTGGGAGGCCGAGGCGCGTGAATCACCAAGTCAGGAGTTTGAAACCAGCCTGACCAACATCATAAAACCGTGTTTCTACTAAAAAGACAGAAATTAGCCAGGCATGGTGATGTGCACCTGTAATCCCAGCTACTTAGGAGGCTGAGGTAGGAGAATCACTTGAAACCAGGAGGTGAAGGATGCAGTAAGCTGAGATCGGGCCACTGCACTCCAGCCTGGATGACACAGAGTGAGACTCCATCTCCAAAAAAAAAAAAAACCTTGTCCTCACATCTTCAGAAAACAGCAGTAGTACTCCAGAGGAGTGTGAGGAGACAAGTGAAAAGCCCAAAAATAAGAAAAAGCAAAAGTTCCAGGAGGTTCCTCAGGAGAATGGAATGGAAGATTCATCTATCTCTTTCTCCAAACCCAAGAAAAAGAAATATTTTTCCAAGGAGGAGCTGATGAGTAGCAATCTTGAAGAGAACACTGGCAGCACCAATTTTCCCAAGAGGAAGCAGTCTTCACCCAAGGAGGAAACAGTTAATGACTCCGAAAAGGCAACAGAAGTGTCTCCAAGAAAAAGGAAATTCTCCAAAGAGGAGCCGGTTAGCAGTGGATCCAAAGAGGCCACGGGCAGCAAGAGCAGCTCCAAGGAGGAGAAAAAGTTCCATAAAGCAGCCCAGGAAGTTTAGAATGCAAATGGACATTCTCTGTGAGGTGGGGCATACCATTTCCCACATTTCCCACCCTGTGTGCTGTTCCCCAATAAAAACAAATTCACACACACACACACACACACACACACAAATATATAAAAATAAGGTTGCAATAAATGTTCTGTGACGTTCCTTCTTTCCAGGATCAAACTTCTGTGATTCTACTTCTAACTTCATTCCCAGAGTGCCCTGTTGACCCTGACCCCTCAACCCTTTACAACTACGTCCACTGTAGTTGAAAGATCTGTATATTTGAAGACATCAAAGAGATACCACTACTGAAGACGTACCACAACTGAAGATGTACCATTTTGGTTGCAGTGACTTCACACAATCCAACCCACAAGTACAGAAAATACCAGCCCAGTGAAATGACAACCATCATGCTTTCTTTACTATTCATGTAATAATAGATATTAGCCTTCTATTTGGACCAAGCGTGGCAGTAGGCACTGTGAGGTGTTTCCTAAGAAGAATGTGATCTGTGGTGTGCACCTGTAGTCCCAGCTACTTGAAAAACTGAGGTGGGAGGACTGCTTGAGACCAGGAGTTCAAGACCAGCCTGGGCAACATAGTGTCACTGCACTCCAGTCTGGGTGATGAAGTGAGACTCTGCCTAAAAAAAAAAAAAAAAAAGAAAAAGAAAAGTGGGGTTGGCTACAAGTTTTTAGGTGACTTAGAGCAAGAGTAGAAGGGGGATAATTCAGTTGGAGGAAGTTAATTCATATAGAGCTTACGACTTCAAAACTCTTCTCACATCTTAAATATTTTACTGAGTGCCTACTATATGATAGGCACTGAGCCAGGTACTAGTATTTCTTCTTTCAAAGTCACTGTCAGCCATTCCAACAATGTCCTCATCAGCATCTTACAACACTTGCCCTCTGTGTCCTTCCCATGTTATAATCTTCAATCATAAATTCATCCAGCAAATATTTGTTGAGCACCTATAACATAACCAGCCCTGTGTTAGGGTTAGAGGAGATACACACACACACAAACATACACACACACACACACACACACGCTATGCTTCCAGCTTCTGGTGCAGGAATTAAAAAAAATTAAATAATGGGATAGAATTAAAATTCAAATATACTCTGAAAGAGACACAAAGATATTTTAATACCTAAAATATCTAATAAGGAAGAAAACCACTGTAAGAAATTACAAGATCATGCTTCTCCCCTCTTAGATTAACAGAGATCTTTCTAAGCGTAAAAGCAAAGGAAGAAAGAATAGTAAAATGCCAATAGTTCCAACCTCACAATTTTTTAAAAAGTACACACACACACACACACACACACACACACACATACTACACACAATATTGACAAACATCTTTCAGGACAATTGGATGCTGTGAGTTTATGATTGAATGAGGCTCTTTGCTAGAAACTGAAAGATGATGAAACATCAAAAGGAAAACTGAAAGACAGATTGAGGCTCATAAACATCTCATCTATCGGACACAGCAGGAACCTAAGCTAAAACCAGGGCCTTCTGGAGCCTGGATCTGGAATCAGGGTTGGGAAGATATCTGAGATGAACCATGGCTCTGTTTGAAGATAGGGACTGACACGAAAGGAGACTGGAAAAAGTGCTGCAAATCCTAAGAAAAAAATTTTTAGATTATACATCTAATAAAGGGATTTTCATCTAGAATGTATATAGAACTCTTACAACTCAACAACAAAAACATAATCCAATTAAAAATATAATGAGATACCATCCCATACCAGCCAGAACAGCTATGATTAAAAAGTCAAAAAATAACAGATGCTGGGGAGGTTGTAGAGAAAAAGGAATGTGTTTACATTGTTAGTGGGAGTGTAAATTTAGTTCAACCATTGTGGAAGATAGTGTGGTGATTCCACAAAGACCTAAAGACAGAAATACCATTTGACCCAGCAATCCCACTACTGGGTACATGCCCAAAGGAACAGAAATCATTCTGTTATAAAGACGCATGCAGGCATGTGCTCACTGCAGCACTATTCATAATAGCACAGACATGGAATCAAATGACGGTCAATGATAGACTAGATGAAGAAAATGTGGTACATATATACTATGGAATACTATGCAGCCATAAAAAGGAACCAGATCACGTCCTTTGCAGGGACATGGATGGAGCTGGAGGTCATTATCCTTGGCAAACTAATACAGGAACAGAAAACCAAATATCGCACGTTCTCACTGGTAAGTGGGAGCTAAGTGATGAGAACACACAGACACATAGAAGAAAACAACACACATTGGGGCCTATCACAGAGTGGAGAGTAGGAGGAGGGAGAGGGTCAGGAAAAATAACTAATGGGTACTAGGCTTAATATCTGGGTGATGCAATAATCTATTCAATAAATATACATGGAACAAGTTTACCTATATCACACATCTGCACATGAACCCCTGAATTAAAATGAAAGTTAAAAAAAGAAAGCCCCCCCAAAATAGGTAAAGAATTTGAGTAGACATTTCTTAAACAAGACATACAAACGGCCAATGAACGCATGACAAGGTGCTCCACATCATTAGTTATTAGGGAAACACAAATCAAAACCACACTGAGATACCACTTCATACCCACTAAGATAATTATAATAATAATAAAAAAAAAAGATGGACAATAACGAGTGTTGGCTAGCACATGGAAAAAATGGAATCCTCATATGTTGCCTGTGGAAATGTAAAATGATACAGCTACTGTAAAAAACAATTATTCTCACAGTTTCTTTATCCATTACCCACGTGATGGGCATCTGGGCTGGTTCCACGGTTTTGCAATTGCGTATTTGCAGCTGAGCTCCCGTGGCAGCCTCCCAGCAACCCGCTGCGAAAGGTTAAAAAGTCATCTGGCAGCTAGATAAGAGGACTAAGTTCTGGTGCTCTACAGCACTGTAGGGTAAACACAGCTAACAAGAATTTATTATATCTTCTCAAATAGCTAGAAAACAGGATTTTGAAAGTACCCAACACAAACACAGCCTGCGGGAGCGCATCCCAGCTCTAGATTTGGAGATTTGCAAAAGGATAGAGGCTACCGCGTCCCCGGGTATTTGGCACCCACGGCCTGGCCACCTAGGTTCGCTAGCCCGGACCTCGGGAAGTGTTCGGCGGTCCTGCAGGCAGTCCCGGCGAGCAGGGTGGGGGTGAGGGGTGAAATTTAAACGTTTCCTTCCAGCAAGAGCAGGGGGTTGGGAAAGGATGCCACGCAGGGGACTTCCCGAGCAGGATGGAGACTCTCACCTTTCACCCTCAAGTCCAGCTCACCCCGCGGACGATCACACTCTTCCCAAGGCCATGCCTCCTTCCCCCGATCCTCCCGTGTCTTCCGCCCCATGGGAGCATCCCCATTTCCAGGTCCCCCGTCTTTCGCCCCCTACCTCGAGGCTCTTCAGGCGGTCCTTGAGGGTCTGCAGCGAGCGGCTGAAGTGCTCAGGACGTGGCCAGGGTCCCGCGGCAGGTCGCCCATAGTGTCCTTGCCCGTGGCCCTCCGCGTCGCGCGCCTTGCCGCCCGCGAGCCCCTGGCAGCGCGCTGGGTTGCCCGCGACCTCGTGAATGGCCTCGCGCGCGGGCGCGCCCAGCATCTCTTTCAGCGGTAGGACGGTCTGGCGCAGCTCCAGCACCGCAGCCCGCAGCTCCTCCTCGGGACTCAGCCCGCCGCCCTGTATGGGCATCGCCGGCAGCCGGTAGCCGGCGCGCACCGCCTCCGTGGGCAGCGCCGTGCACAGGAAGCGGCTGCCGAGCACCTGGCTGTCCTGGGCCCCGGCGGCCACGGCGAGCGCCAAGCCGCGACCAGCAGCGCCAGCATCGCGCCACCGCCGAAGTACTCAGCTCCGCATGGTCAGGCTGGCGCCCTTGGGGCGCTCCGCGGGAGGCGCTTTCGCTGCTGGCGATAGCAGCGGTGGCGTATGGAAGGCCGCCTGCACCACGGAGTCGGCGCCACCTGCACTACAGTGACCTCACTGGCCGCGAAGCGCTGTGCTCCCGCCGCGCTTCGCCCTTGCGCCCTCTCTTAAGCTGAGGGGGGATGGGCACAGGGAGCCGGCGCGTGGAGCGTGCGCCGCGAGCTGTGATTGGCTCGGCCGAGTGCGCGTCACGCAGTGGGCGGGGCGGGGGGGGCAGGGGGACTTCTCGGTGTGCAGCAGGTGGCTGGGCGGGAGGTAGCATAGGCCTGATCCTGAGACAAGAGCCTGAGGTCCGGAGCCCCATCTCAGGAAAGGAGGCCTGAGGTAGAAAACGATGTTGGGGCTGTCGAGAGCCTATAGGCTGGCTGTGCCCGGGAGCTCCTCGAACCCACACGAGGACGCGGGCGTCATGGACTGAGAAGTCAGGAGTCCATTGGTGCCCCGGTGCCCCTTCCTCAGAGTGGCTTCCGGCGCGGCCTGGGGCCTCGCTATGCGTTAGCAGCCGCCCTCAGGGAGGCGTTTTCCCCAGCAGGAGCAGCCCCCGCTACGCGGGACCCGAACCCTGGCCACCGTCGCGAGCCATCCCAGTCGCTAGGCGTGGACCTCCTCCTCAAGGCCCTGCCACCTCATTCTCGAGGCGGGAAGGAGCCGCAAGATGGCCGCCTGTGGATGCAAGGTCCCTGGGGTGAGCTCCTCGGCCCTGCCTCCACCCTCCACCCCGACTCGCAAAACGCTCGGGAAGAATCCACGGGGACCGGGACCAGGACCAGGCGCCGGATGCAGACCGGAAGGAAGGGACACCTGGAGTTGGAGACACAGTCACGAGGTCACTGCAGAGCCCTCGCGCGATTGTCCTTCGACTGCCCCCGGGCGGTGACCTTATTCAGCAAGACCTGAGCTGGAGAGTTGGTTGGGGGGAGGGGGTAGTCTTGGTGACATCCAACTGGAGTCATCGCGGTGGAGCCACGTGGCCAAACAGTGCCCCGTCCTTTTAACCAGGGGGCCCGTAGTGTCACCACTTCACCAAAGTGAGGCCACTGCCCTCAGCTTGGAGACAGCAGATATGAGCAGAAACTCCCAAAAGTCAGGAGCAAATTTGTTTTAGAATCTCTCCAAATATGTGGCTTAAAATAAGTTCAGAACGATTTTGATGCACAGCTACAGACTGAACTAGTTTACTGCACATTTATAAATGGAAATCTTTATTGTTTTTTGCTTTCTATGTTTTTAAGGAAAACTGTTACAAGGTCATTAATCAAGTTATCCATTATACCAGAAACAAATGGATTTGTCACTTGTGGACAAAAGCCGAGATTGATTCTGAAAGCAAATTGTATCAAAATAAATGAAATTATTATGATAATATCAACTAGACCACAGTGATTAATCTCTAGAAACCAAATTCTGACCTGCTTTACACTTCAAACAATAGCTTCTGTTATGTAAATAGTTGTGGGGTTTTCAAGGATATTATTGCTAAATTACAAGAAAAGTTCTATTCATGAAAATCTCTTCGTAGATAAAAAAGGAAAGACAGGAACCTGGTCTACAAGGTATCCAAAGCAGAAGACAATGGAAGTGATGATGGTTCAGGTAAGAATATTCATTAGCAGAAAAAGGTATGGATGGGAGATTTGGGGTGAGTAATGGGCTCATGTTTCTGTTAGCCTGCATCCCCAGGAGGTGTTAGTCCCACCTTGTAACTATGACCTTGACTGGACTCATTGTTCCCACATCCTTTTTCAGCTGGTTAGAAACTCTTTTAAAGTTCAAATAAGCCTACATATGCACGAATTACAATAATGAAGGCAACAGGGTTGTGAAGTACTTTATGCCTTGTTACATTTCAGATGATTCATAAGGCACCAAATCCAGACGTTTTCAAAATTATTCAGATAATGATGTGACTTTTCCATTTTCACTCATAGCTTTGATATTCCTCTTTGTTTGTAGACCTAGGTGGCCCCTAATTGGATGTGTCAATAGAGTATTATCATCCCTATATTGTTCCATATAGCCTTTCTTGACCCACAGACTGATCCATTCATATTTGCAACTACTTGAAATAGAAGCTTGTTCCCCTAATAATTAAACAAAATCAAGTCTATTTCCAGAATTCTAATTTCCTCCTGAACAAAGAAAGCAGTGTACAAGAGTAAAAATAGCATATATCCCAATATAATTACTGCTAAACGTCTTAAAGGAGATTCCAGTATGAGAAGTGATCAGTGAAATTACCAAAGCTCAAATGGAAAGACCTAGACATTTGAAATGTTATTTTCTTTGGAGGCCATATAATTAGAGGCTTAGTTAACAGACTATATGCTCTTTACAGTTTTATTTTATCTTCCTGGTGCAATGAAAAGTCTGCTGGTTTAGGCATGAGGGATCCAGTGCTAATTCCATCTCTGTCACTAGCTAAGTGGTTTAGGGCAAGTCATTTCTCTTCTCTGGACTTCAGTTTCCTTCCATATAAGATAAGGGGATTAGACTCAACTCTCTAAAGGTGCTTCAGCTGTACTCAAGGACTTGGTAGTTTGGAAAAGAAGGAATCACTGTTGGTGTGAGGAACGTTTCAGAAACTTGTTTTTTTCTGTGTGTGTTATGAACCACCTGTAACCAAAGGTGAATGTGGAAAGGCAGGATTGTTGTGTAATACAACAGGTAAACCTTCATACACGGAGATGCTGTAACTGTGGTTAAATCCTGCTCTCCACAACATGAAGGTTCATACTGGATTCACTCACAGCACAACAACCTTGTCTACCTGAAAGATCCTGCATGTATGACTTATGCTCTCCATGAGGATGGTTATGTGAGTAGCAGAGACCACAGCCCACAGATTTTCCTCCA